CAGCAACACTGGCTCTTTAGGAAACGGGGCGGGGGCGGGGGGGAACTGCGTGGGGACAAGATGAGAGTTTGGAGGATTTACAGACCACAGAAACAGGTTGGTCCTCTCTAGAAAGACCATTTGCAAGTCAAGATCTGTTGACAGCAATATATTCAGAAAGAACCCAAGTCCTTAGTAAAAGAAAGCTAGAATTTGAGTGAAATGAGTTTATCTGCTTATATATTACAGAATTATCTCTGCTCTGGACAAAAACTGTTTCACCATCACAACGCATTGCTTCTTGTTCTTGGCCCTTTGGCTAAAACCAAGTGTGGTGCCATCCCTACACACACACACACACACACACACACACACACACGCACTAGAGAGGGCATTGAGAGATTTGGGATGCCTCAAAAGCCACACACACACAGTAAGAACCACTGGGGAAACCTAAGATCCTTTGAGGCTCGCGGTTTTGGTGAAGACGGCACCTGTGATGGTAGTGGTCTAAAAGCACACTAGCGGTGGTGGCCACTGTGGCAACCTCTGAGAACACTGTCACAGACATTGTATAGGAGGACACATCTACTGAGCAGGACATGATAGTGAGTAAGGCCTGGTCCGAAAGGTTTGGTATTTCACTGTAAAGACAACTCAGAAGAGACGTGACATCCTGGTCAGACAGATCAAAATCAGCAGCTGAGACAATGCAGACAGTTTCCACTAGCCGCACTAATCTGATGTCTTGGATGGAGGCACAGTGAAGCACCAAGCTGCGGAAAAAATCCAGGAGCGGGAAAGTCGATTTGTCCACCTTTCCCGTCATCATTGCCCAGACAGAGCCTCCCGTATGGAAATAATCACACATCCATCTAAAACATACATTTTGAAAAGGAAAGGGAAGAAGACATTACCACTTCAAGGAAACACGGTTGGTTTAATTGTGTGGGAAGCCAAGGAAACTAAGAGATGGCTACGTTTATGGCACATTGTAAAATAATTATTGAAAAAAAAACGCTTATTGATATGTTTTAACTTTCTAAGGAGCATATAAACAATGAAAACACACTTATCTGCAAAAAGGCACACCTTCAATTAGGTATTAAATGCTTATGAATAACTCTAACAGCAGGTTCCTAAAAGACCTAATATGCCAGTATTCTCTATATACATGAAAAATAATTATTTTTCTTAGTCGAATTACGTGTGGACATACTCAAGGACAGAAACTGAGCCAGGAGCCACTTCTGCCTCCCTTCTGATCTCTGATTTTATCCCATTTTCTTTCGCTTATCTTCTAAATGTGCTTGTAATAAGCTGCCCTCTCGCTAGCACCTCCTTGTAAATGTGATGCCTATCTGGTTTATTCTAGCTAAGTAAACTCGGTTCAATAAAACCATCCTGGCCTATTACTGCACTGGCATGCTACTGTAGCCCTGTTACATAAGCCCCAGGTTCTCCTTCGGGCTTGAGTTACGCTGCGGTACTGTATATCTAAGATAAGAGGCTGTCTGCCGTCTGCACAGTGTTATCACAGAACACACAGGGACTTTTTATGGAAGGCACTTCATGAGAACCGCCTCACAGATGCAGGTTTTCCTGAAACTAACTCAGTGGCCTCGTATATGTGTACATGCGTATGCACACTCACTTGTGTATATACATGCACACATGCATACTTCCAAGCATGAGTAAAGATACACACTACACTGAAAACAAAGTGGGCTACTTTCCAGAGTTGGCAGATTTCCTCCAGTAATCCTCCTTGTACTTACCAAGGCCGAAGCCCAAAGAGGACAGCACTCTGGCAGCCTGCTAGCCCCCATCCCCCGTCCCCACCATTCCACCCTTCACCATGTCCTTGAAGATGCAAGAATCCCAAAACTTGGGGTGCTCAGACCCAGAGCCTTCCTTTAGCTAAAAGTGTGGTATCAGGAGAGTACGACATATCAAGGAGCCTTCAAAACTTCCACAGTTCCTGCAAAGGCCTGAGAAGCTAACTGTCTGCCTTTGGCTTTGGATGTTCTCTTTTCCCTGAGGATCTATTTATCCCAGGCTTCCCTGAGACTTTGTGTGATGTCAACATGATTTTGATGAATTGATTGATGGAGGTGGGCCTTGTATCTTATCTGTTGATTTCATTGGTTAATAATAAAGAAACTGCCTCGGCCCTCATAGGACAGAAAACTAGGTAGGCGGAGTAGACAGAGGAGAATGCTGGGAAAAAGAAGCTGAGTGAGTGAGTCGCCATGATGCTCCCACTCCAGACAGACGCAGGTTAAGATCCTCTCTGGTAAGCCAACTCATGGGCTACACAGAATATTAGAAATGGGTTAGAACAATATGTAAGAGTCAATAAGAAACTGGACCTAGCCGGGCCAGGCAGTGTTTGAAAGAATACAGTTTCCGTGTAATTATTTCTGGGTATAAACTAGCCATGCGGGCGGCCAGGTGCCGGGGACGCAGCCCTGCCGCCGCTCCTATTTCAACAATTGATTATTGGTAGAAAATAGTTATTTTTAAAAGCTAGCTTAATAGGGGAAAACTATTTCAAACATGACATCAAAAAGCGTACATGCCTGGTGATAAAATGTTGGGTATCTCAGTCATGAAAGCTGCGTAAGGAAAGGTGAAATCCTTCTGTATTGGGGAGAGCACGCCTGCGCAGCTCAGGAAACAGAGGGCAGCGCAGCAGCAACAGCGGGGAGGAGAGACATGCACGCCAGAGTTCTTCTTTTCTTTCTTTCGGTGCTGGATCAAACCAGGTGAGCACTCTGCCACTCAGCTGGTCCCGCCCTTCCCTACATCCCATGATTGAGAGCCTGAATTCAGCATGAACTTAGAAAATTTCTACAGTGTTTTCCTTACATAGACACAGATTGTGAATCATCTATGGAAATATTCCACATTTCTTTGTCATGTCATCTGATGTTCATTACGATAATGGACTTTCAGGGAAGAAAGTATGTGGGAAGTAGGTGGAAAATTTGCATTAATATTTCTGTTCTTCCAACCAGGAGCGAAGGCTAAAACACATCTGTAGGCTTTAACTCTGGGAGTTTGGTATTCGTGTAGCCCATCAGCTCTCTATCAAGTAAGCAAAAGGGTAAAAAAAAAAAAAATAGATAAATAAAAGCAGATACTGAAGTAGGTAGAGATATCTCCTGAATAAAGCAACACCTCACAGGATGTCAAAGACTCTGGAAAGGTGGATGACATGACTCTTAGAAGCTAGTCTCGGGGCTGTTTGTAGTACAAATTAAAGGGGGGGTTCATCTCATGAAAGAGAAGAAAATCTTCACAGTCATACCTCAAGGGTGGAAAGCTCTGTGCATTAATTAATCCTGGCATACACTTCATCCATCGAGGTCCCAGCTCGCAGGGGACTGTGGCGGGCTTGCTGACAGGAGACCCAGGCACATGTATGATGCTAGATTATAAAGCCCATAAAGATCACAGCTTGGGTCATTAACAAACCTCAGTCAGTCTTAAGCTGGGGGCAGAGGCAAGTGGGTCACAAATCTTGGGCCAACGTGGGATTCACTGTGAGAACCTGTCTCAGAGAAGACACAGCATGGCATGTTTGGGCATGTAGAAGATGCAAAATGAGTAGACAACATACACCAAGTCAATATAAATTTAATAAAAATTCCAACCCAAAAGCTGGGCCGTTGGTGACACACGCCTTTAATCCCAGCACTCAGGAAATTGGCAAGTAGATCTCTGTGAGTTCAAGGCCAGCATAGTCTACAAGAGCTAGTTCCAGGACAGGCTCCAAAGCTACACAAAGAAACCCTGTCTTGAAAAACCAACCACTTCCCCCCTCAACTCCCCCCCCCTGGAAAAAACAAAAACAAAAAAAAGCGCAAAACAAATAAAATCCTACCAAAAATACAAAGAGGAGGGATTTATTTGTTTGTGTTTGTTTGCTTGCTTTTTGTAGAGGAAAAGGACATGGAGACTGTTGTTTATTTAAAAATGCAGCAGGAAAAAGACGCCATGCAACCGAGTTCACATGGAGGGGCTTTTATTAGTGGAAATGGAACGTAAAAAGAGGGAAGGGGAAAGGGGAGACTGAAGACAGGAGCAACAGAAGAGAAGAGAGAGGCAGGGGGTGAGGGGACTGGGATGGAGAGACAGGCAGAGAAGGAGAGAGAGAGAGAACAGACAACAGAGAGATAGGAAGTAGGTGGGCAGGGCCCTTTTAAAGGGAACCTAGTGAGTGTGCACAGGCGGTGCTCTTAGTGGCTGCAGCTGAGGACTTATCCTGTCAGAACCCCAAGGGCAGGCCAGTGCAGGTCACTGAATACTAATATTCTTCGCTTCTTATTTATTAAGAAAGTGAGGCGTTAGAACAGGGTGAAAGGAGTTAGACGGTGAGGCAAGGATAAGGACACCATGTTCTCAAAACTACTTCCTGGGGAGGGATGTTCATCTTTGGGGGACTGAGACAGCTGGGGTGCTGGCCACATCCTAGAGTATCGACCTGTTTCACTTCTCTCCCCAGACTCTGTGGAACCGTCAGGCACCGCCTGGACCTGGAAAAATGTCGTTCAAGGTGGATCCAAGTCGACTCCCTAGACACCTGGTCCTTTTCCCATTGCCACAGCATCATGTTTGATGGCCTTACACCTCTATCCCTAGGGTCAACAACTGTAGTTCTGCAATAATAACTGATTGGAAATGGTCAATGTGTCTCCAAAAACCACTCCAATGGGAACAAGGAAGTATAGGCGATGACACAGCTCCCATGAATGAGGCAGAGAAGTAAGACCCAAGGATCTGCAATTCCTAGCATCCCAGGAGTTCAGAGAGGGTCAATTTCGAGACAGCACAAGCTGCTTTGTGTTTCATCAAAGCCAAGGGCTCTGAGCCAGAGAGATACACAGTTGCCTAGTACCAGGACTTCAGAAAAGCCAGAAGGCAGGGAGAGGACTATGCTTGAGAAACGAAGAGGTCATGGTCAGAGGCAGGTAAGCCTGCCAGAGATTGTTCAACTGCCAATATTGAACGGATAGCAAAGCCGCCAGCGAACGAGGAAGCAGATTTGTTGCAGGTGGGAAAGAACAGATGTACGAGAGTAGAGCAGATGGGTAAGGTCCCAGCATGAAATGAGTTTACCTTTCCGTGAGCATGCTGCACCCAACAGAGTTAGTGTGAGGTTTACTGGGGAGGGAAAGCAGAAGAGTAGGGGTGATGCCCCCTCAGGATCTCTGGCAGAATGTTGCAAAGGTGCGCAGATTTTTGGTGGGCTTCTTCCCCACGAGTGAGGCAGAATAGAATTCAATGGCTTTTTACCAAACTAGGAGAGCAAGAAAGGCAGGCTCAAGCTGCCCAGAGAGCTGCCACTCAAGGCGTGGGGCCTAGGGCAAAGCCTGAAGGACCCAAGGGTCCAAGAAAGGCACAGGCCACCCAGTGAGTCATCATGCAAAGGGTTGGGGCTGAGGGCTCTGAGCCCAAGAGAGCTCTGGACCCAGAGATCAGGAGAAACAAGGCTGTGGACTGGGTTCTAGGATTCTGGCATGCCTCAAACTGCCTGCAGGCAGAAGGAAGCACCAGGAGAAACATTCCTGGTCAAGGAACCAGTGTTGCTCTTTATTTAAACATGCGGCGGAAGAGAGAAAGACGCCATGCAACAGAGTTCACGTGGAGGGGAAAAGGAATGTAAAAAGAGGGAAGGAGGTGGGGAGACTGGTCTCTGGGGACAGGAGCAGCAAAAGAGAAAGGGGGCGGGGATGGAGAGACAGGCAGAGAAAGAGAGAGAGAGAAAGAGAGAGAGGAGAGAAAGACAGAGAGAGGAGAGGGAGAGGGAAAAAAAGAGGGAGAGAAGGGGGAGGGAGGGAGGGAGGGAGGGAGGGAGGGAGGGAGGGAGGGAGGGAGAGAAGGGAAGACAGAAAAAGAGAGGAGGTGGGCAGGGCCCTTTTAAAGGGGAACCTAGAGATTGTGCACAAGAGGAGCTCTTAGTGGCTGCAGCTGAGGACGCACCCTATTGGGACCCCAAGGTCAGGCCAGTGCAGACGCCTGAACACTAACAGACTAGAAAAACTGATTTCTAAAGTTCGTGTTAGACTGGGATGTGGCTGGGTGGTAGAGGGTATCTGTGAGGCTCTTGGTTCAATCCCAGCACCACTCAGCATTAAAATAAGTAATATAAAATTCATAATTAAAGCAATCAGTAGCCAGAGGGAATACAGAAGACAAAGAAGCTATGGAACAGGAATGCTTTGGGTCTCCTGATTGTAAGACATTATTTATTTTATACACGTTTATCAGTTTACTAAAAGGGGTGGTCTTTTAACAAAAACCACTGCAACAAATTCAAACAATGCAAGTTTATTTTCTAAAGGTCAGAGACTGAATTGGGTCTCACTGAGCTACAGCCAAGATGTAGGTAGGGCTGTGTCCCTTCCTAGTGCTCTGCTGGGGAGTAGGCATCCTCTCTTTAGTAACTCCCAGAAGTCATTGTTTTAACTGTCTTTACGACTCCCTGCCTCCATCTTTAAAGCCAGGTTTCTCAAGCCGGGCGATGGTGGTGCACGCCTTTAATCCCAGCACTTGGGAGGCAGAGGCAGGTGGATTTCTGGGAGTTCGAGACCAGCCTGGTCTACAGAGCAAGTTCCAGGACAGGCTCCAAAACCACAGAGAAACCCTGTCTCGAAGAAAAAAAAAAAAAAGCCAGGTTTCTCTGAAAATTCAGTCATGTTTCTCCACCTAATAATCTTTAAAATATTCCCAACACAAAGTTTTTAATTTAACTATAGCTGTAAGATTCTTTTGCCATACATATAAAGTGTTTGTAAGTGCTAGAAATTTAGATTTGGATAAAAGGACATATTTTTGCCTACTATGCATAATTCAGATTCATGTATACACAAAGCAATCAAATATAAGAGTAAATATCACACAAATCTTAGAAAGTCTAGTATTAGACTACAATAAATCCAGGAGTTAATTTATTATAAATTCTACCTCATTGGTGGGAAAGATGACTTTTTCAATATTTGCTGAAGTTACCAAGTTATCGTTGAAAATGGATCAAATTGAACACCAACCATGTCTATTACAACAAAATTAATTAAAGATGAATTAAAGATTAAAATAAAAAATGAACCTATAACAAAAATAATATAAACTATCAAGAAGCTTTCTATAACCCTTAAATGAGGAAACCCTATGAGAAAAATGTTAATTAAACAGCATAAAATTATAATACATGTGGTTATACATTAACAAAATCAAAATGTAAACAGTGAACAATATTTTTCAAAATATTGTTTTTCAATATTTTTCAACTTATCACTGCCTAAGGTAATGTCTCAGGGTTTTTATTGTTGTGAAGAGACACCATGACTATGGCAACTCTTATTAAAAAAAATTGAATTGGGGTGGCTTATATTTTCAGAGTTTAGACCATTATCATTATGGTGTGACATGGTCATAAGCAGGCAGACATGGTACTAGAGAAGATGCCAAGTGTCCTACTTTTTGGCTTGCAGGCAACAGGAAGTGGTCTGTCTCATTGGGCATGGCGTGAGCATATATGAGACCTCAAAGCCCACCTCCACCGTGACACACTTCCTCCAACAAAGCCACACCTACTCAAAGAAAGCCACACCTCCTAATAGTGCCACTTCCATTGGGGCCCATTTTCTTTCAAACCACCACAGTATCCTCACTAAGTGAAGAGTCTGGGCTAAAGAAATGGCTTGGGAGATTGAAAAAGGATCCAACTTTGGTTTCTGGAACCCATGTTGAACACATATAACATTATTAAAATAATAAAAATAATTCTTAGAAATACATAAAGAGACCCTACAAACCAATTAAAAATAATCTACCCCCCAAAAGCAGATGGTTCATATAAATAGTTCATAGAAAATGAAAGGGTCTCAATGTTAAGTCTTGACTGGCTTGTAACTCTCTCGAAAGATCCATCTGCCTCTGTCTTCTGAAAGCTGGAATTAAAGACATACAGCATCACTCCTGGTTTAAATGACTTTTAAACATCCAAAAATATGCTCAGACTCTCTCAGGAAGAAATTGAAAAACACTGACTTTTTTATTATAAAGCACACTGACAATGATATATGAACACAGAATATTGGACTAGATATTATTAATCAATTAAAGCCCACAAAGATTAATTTACAGCACCTAGTAAAATTTCAGGTGCACATATATGGGTGAGCATGGTGGCCCAAGCTTGTAATCCCAGAAGGCAGAGGTAGGAGAAGCTCCAGGCCAGCCTGAACTACATAGTGATTCCTTACCCCAAAGAAAAGAAAATTTAAAGTAAGTAAAGGGGGTGGGGGACAGGGACAGACATTGGATGGAGCAATTCTGTCCTCTGAGACGCACATTTGCTTTGCCTAGAACAGACGCAGGGACACCCAGTCTACGCTCTGCTCTACAGGTGCAGCACACCTGACACAAAGTGTTGACTTTAGGCCTCTGGGTCAATAGGGTATTTCATGCACTAAGACAGTGAGTAATCTTGGGCAATTCAAGATGAAGTAATTTCCACATTTGGATCATCTCAATAATTTTAAACTTAAAATGTAGGCTAGTAGACAAGGGGTCTCTCCAGCACTGGAGTAGAGTACTACTTCCCAGCACCATAAAAGGACACAGAAAAATCACATTGAAAACTTAGAGTAGTTGCGAAGTAGGAAGGATTTTTAGCCTCTCGCTCTCTCTCTCTCCTCCTCCCCTTCTCTTCTCCTTTCCCTTCTCTCTCCCTCTTCCACTCTTTCATTCCTTGAGTCACCAAAAAGTTAATTATAAATAAAATTCTAACATTAACTGTGAAGGGTGTAAGTCACCTCTTAGGTATGATAATAGAATGCCAAGAGCAAGGCAGCAGATTTTGTGGGAGTAGTTCCCCTTTTCTTCCACTTTCCCTAGCAAATATTCTGGGAAACGAGGCATATTTTTTTTCCTCTACATGAAGTATGTCTCACTGTGAAATCATTCTCTTCATTCATCAGACACCCCAAACTTGACCTACAATCCAAACTATGTTCTTTTCTCATTGGAATGTAAGGTTTCTTATTGGAATGAAACTCTTATTTTCACTAACAAAATAGAGACTTCAGTCTAAGTATTACTGTGCGTTATTTCCTTAAATAGTTTTGCAAAGTCTTCTGGTAAGTGTCTGAGAACACCTATTAGGTCATTGTCCTATCAGCCTTCTTTTTGCTGTAGTGTGTGGATACTGTTGCTATAACAACAGAGAGTCAGTATCCCTGCTAACATTCAGAGAAACAAAACTGTTCAGTCCAATGCATGTGCATGAGTAAGAAGATACACTCCCTAAGGTTGTCTTCAAACTGCAGTTTCCAGAAGGGCTGCAGACTCCTTGATGTCTGCTGTCTTCCTTCTCTTATTAGATACCCTGCATGAGCTCATGATTCAACAAAGCGAGACAGCTCCAGTAAGCTCTCAATCTAGGTCTGGTTGTTATCTGTGTCTGCCAGGAACTACAGCAACTGAGACAAGAGTCCTGGAATTCAAATCTGTAGCGGCAGTTGCCCACAGAGGCAAGCAGTATACCAGCTTGGTTTGTAGAGAGCAAAACCTGATTTTCTGCAGATATTTTGAACTTCTCTAGAAACTCATTTCACTGAATTTTCAAATCTGTGGCGCTGCTGTTGCTGGAATGCAGCATTCTCAGTTGGCTGGGAGATGTCGCTCTAGCTGATTTTGATACTGGCTGTTTAGCTTTCTACATTTTCCTGATTATTTTCCCCAAACTTTAATAACGCTATTGGCTTTTACAAATAGAGCAACTTTGCCCTTTAGAAGCCTTTTGCTTGTTTTCTCTTTCCTAGTTTTATTTTCTTATATTTATCACCTTATTCTTTCTACTTTCTTTGGTTTTATTTTATAATTATTTTGCTAATAAAATAAAATAAAGAAAACTAAATGAAAGAAATAAAACTCCATTGGTTTTTAGGATTTTTCTGTTCTCCAGTGTAGTCATTTAAGAGAATAATTTCCCTCCCTGGACTTAACTACATTCCTCAATATTTGATGCTATCGTTTCATTATCGTTTAACTCACAAGTGCTTTGCTTGTCTTAGAAATCTTCGCTTGTTCCTGTAGTGTGGCCCCTTACCTCCCTCTCTTCACAAAAACAGATGTCTTGTTAGTCACTGGGACCCTTTACAAGAAAGGGTTTCTGAGCCTACACGTAGAAAAGATACCAAACATTTCTGCAGAGGTAAAACCTACAGACATGAGGACAAAATCACCAGTGTCCTGTAAAATGATAAATAACACACCAGTGTCACAGACAGCATTTGTATTATGTCTTTTATTTTTGGTATTACAATTACATCATTCTTCCTTCCCTTCCCTCCATCTAAACCCTCCCATACATCCCTCCTTGCCCTTTCAAATTCATGACATCTTTTTTCATTAATTGCTCACATACAAAAAATTATTCACACACACATACACACACACACATGCATGCAAGCACACACACATCCTAAATACATAAACAAACCACCTCAGCATGTATAACACTGCACGTGGGTATTGGATATCCAACTGGTGTTGGCTAACAACCTAGGGTGCTCCTTCCTGAGGAAGACCTGTGTCTCCACTGTCTGCACCCCTCAGCTGCCTGTAGCTCTCTGTATAGGGTTGAGGCCTCCTGGGCTTTCCCCACAATCCTCAGCACATTTATCAGTGCTATCTTTATTCAGCTCACATTGGGGCAGTCATGTTTGTGAGACTTTGTGGGTGTAGCGTCTGACATTCCCAGGAAACACAATCTCAGCCAATTTCCTATTCCTCTGGCTCTTATAGTCTTTTTTTACTCCCTCTTCTGCAATGACACTTGAGCCTTTGGCGCAGGAGTTGTGTTGTAGATGTGTCATTTGGGCCTGGACTCCGTGATTCCTCACTTTTGTTTGGTTGTGGCTTTCTATAATGGTTTCTGTCTGCTAGAAGAAAAGTTTTCTTGATGAGGGGTAAACTATACCTATCTGTGGGTATAGACACAAATATTTAGAATGCAGTTAGGGATTCTGCTGGTTTAGCAAAGTTCCAGTTATAGGTCCTCCTCTAAGATTCACACTTCCCTTGCCCTGGGTAATCGGCTAGGTTTCTAGCATCAGGCCTGATTTTCTCTCTTGTTGAGGAGTGTTAAGTCTTATTATAGAGCTATTGGTTACCACCAAGGTATGTGTGCCTCTACTGGCCCCTTAGGGTTATCATACCATGTTGGTCATTCCTGGGGTTCACAGGCATCATAGCTGGGGAGGACCTGCTGGCTGTTTTCCTATTTTGGAAGCTTGCACAGTGCCTTCTGGACCATGAAAGTGAATCCTCAAGGAGAGGACTTACAGCTTAGTTCAGCGCAGGAGCCTCTGGAGTGCATGGTGTCTTTAACGATAGGAACTCACCTTCTACCTCTGTGGGCAACCAAGGGAAGTAACAATAGCCTAGAATGTCTGGGGAGTCTCTTGTACAGCCCATACTAACAACTCAAAAGAAGGTTTCTCAAATCGGTGTTGGGATTTTTAGAATGGTCTTTGTCTCTTGGAGGGAATCATCGTGTCTGCTCAGATGGGGAAATCTCATTAAAACTATGTATTTATTTATACACCAGCTTACAAGTGTTAGAGGTATTTTAAAATAGACTAGTTAAGAGTGTGATTCTTTAAGACTTTGGAATATTAATCATCTGTAAAGAAAAATGAAAACACAAACTTTGCAGGTAAATGGATACAACCAGGACAGAGCATATTCAGTGAGGTAACCCAGCTCCAGACAGACAGACATCACGTGCTGTCTCTCAGCAGAGGCTCCAGGCTCAGTCTTCAGATCTGAGCCCATAACCTGGAGTAACTGCAGAAACCAAGAAAGTGAAAGGGACAATACTGCAGGAGCCTGAAGGGATACGATAGAGAGGGGAGTGGTTGGTTACAAGTGATCTGATGCAGAAACGAGAAGTGGGGATCTGATTAGGCAGGAAGAAGGTAGATACAGGAGGAGGGGGGAAGAAGGTAAAATATCCCAGACTGTGATCCACGCAGCACCAGGCGCAGGCTCCCTCTCACTGCATGGACCTCAAGGTGGACCAGTCACTGTTTGGCCACTCCCACAGTTTTGCCCCACCAGGACCCCATCTTGGAGGCAAGACAGATTGTAGGTAGTAGGTTTTGTGGTGGGTTGATATCCCAATCCTAGCACTGGAAGCCTTGCCTAGTTATAGAAGATGACCAGTTCTGACTCTGTATCCACTATTACTAGGAGACTTCCCTAGAGTTATTTCTGGTAGATTCCAGGGAGTTTCCACTGTACAAGTATTTTACACCACCCAGAAGCTCCCTAATTCCAGTCATCTCTCCCAGTACTCTCCCCCTTCATCCCCGGCCACCCCACACCTGTTCCCATCCCCACCCACCCCCAGTACACCCCAGAATCTATTCTATTTTCCCTTCCCAGGGAGATCCAAGTGTTCCCCTTTTGACCCTTTTGTTACTTAGCCTCTCTGGCTCTGTGGATTGTAGCATGGTTCTCCTTTACTTTACAGCTCATATCCACTGATGAGTGAGCACACGCCATGTTTGTTTCATGGTTCTCCTTTACTTTACAGCTCATATCCACGGATGAGTGAGCACGTCCATGTTTGTTTCTCTGGGTCACCTCACTCAGGATGAGTTTTTCTAGTCTCATGCATTTGCCTGCAATTTTCCCGATGCCATTGCTTTTAACAGCTGAATAGTACTCCATTGTCTAAACCTAACACATTTTCTTTATCCATTCCTTGGTTGAGAGGCTTTCTGGCTATTATGAGTGAAGCAGCTATAAACATAGTTGAGGAAGTGTCCTTATGGAAGTATGGGACAGTGTTCTTTGGGTATATGCCCAAGAGTGGGACCAGAGTCTGGGCAGTCCAGAGACCCAGGATAAAACCAAACATGATGGGCAGAAACAAAAAAAAACAAATAAATAAATAAAAATAAAAACAAAAGTCAATGAAATGATTCCTAATGATATTCTGCTATACTCACAGATCAGTGCGTAGTCCAGCTGTCATCGGAGAGACATTGTCCAGCGACTGATAAATACAAGGTGGAGCCAGGGGAACCTCGCAGAAGAGGGAGAAGAGTGATTCTAGGACCCAGAGGGGTAAAGGACACCATGAGAACACAACCCACAGGACCATTTAAGCAGGGCTCATAGGGCCTCCCAGGGACTGAGGTAACAATCATGGAGCCTGCATGGGTCTGAACTAGGTCCTCTGTGTACATGCTGTGGTTGTTTAGCTTAGGGTTTTTTGTTGTTGTTTTGGGGGTTTTGTTTGTTTTTGAGACAGGGTTTCTCTGTAGCTTTGAAGCCTGTCCTGAAACTAGCTCTTTTAGACAAGGCTGGCCTCGAATTCACCCTTTCTGCCTCCCAAGTGCTGGGATTAAAGGCATGTGCCACCATTACCCTACTTAGCTGGGGGTTTTGTGGGACTCCTAACAGTGGAAGTGGGGGTGTCTCTGACTCTTTTGCCTACTCCTGGCACTCTTTTCCTCCCACAGACTCACCTCATCTAGTCTTGATGATAAGAGGGTCTGTGCCTAGTCTTAAGTAATTTGTTATGCCCTGTTGGATGATGTCCCTGAGAGGCCTGCTCTTTGTTTTTGTTGCTATTGTTGTTATTGTTGTTATTTTTAAGGGAAATGGAGGAGGAGGGGGGATCTGGGGAAGAGGGGAGGTCATGTGGGACTGGGAAGAGTGGAGGGAGAAGAAACTGTGGGTAGATGTAACGCACATAAAGAATAAAAACGAAACAACAAACACCCAGACTGCAGTGTCCAGGCAGAATGCCAGCTCACCACGGATTTCAGCTGACCTTATACTGCTGGAAAAGATTCAGAAAGCGGGGGACGAGGGAAGCTAGGGAGTGCAGAGACCTAGGGGATGGAAAGGAGACGTTTAAACAATGAGTAAACTAGATTGCTCTTACTGGAGAATTTATGTTATGATCATTTTAATGATTGGGTCTTAGGATTAAGAACCATTACAAAAGTGCACTGGAAATTTGTATGAAGTGATTATTATAGGAATATTTATCAGGAAGTTCAGTCAGAAGGAGGAAAAGACGAGTGAGAGCAGAGCGCAGGCATGCATTCAGAGTGAGGGCGGTGGGAAGAGGGCCAGAGGTGAGTTTGCCCAAGCTCATCAATCCTCATCGTCACTGGGAATTCGGGCAATAAATGCACAGTAACCCTCCAACCACATCAAAGAAACTGCGTTCCATTTTGGCCTAGAAAATTAGGAGTCAAGTCAGAAGACTTTATTATATGGTCAAATGCTTCTCACTTTTTCCTTTGTTGGGGGAAGTACTTCCTGGTATTCGGGGAGCATTGGTTGCCATTTCGCTTGGTCAGTCACTTTGGATCTGCGCTACTGTGATGCGCTTCACCCTGATACCGTCCACATTTATACAGATCCCAGACTTCATACTTTAACCGTGAGCCAAAATCATGCCACATCTGCTTGATGCTGCAGGTCGCTCCCTTTGGATGCATCATACTGAAGAATCCTACGGCCTGCCGAGACCTCTGAGGGGTCTGTTGCAGCATCCGTCTCCCTTCCAGCAGTGCCGTCATCGTCATATTGCATGTGACATCAGAGACAGACTCCCATGCGTGCTTCTGTAGGCCACTATTCCCATAGTCCCCATCTCCTTACAATTATAGATCAAGTCATTTTCTTTATAAATCTCCCTTGAACTCTGCTCACCAATGGAAGCATTAATTCTCATAGCAGAAAAAGTTTATATTTGAAACTACCTACGTCTCCTGTATCAATTGACTTTTGTCTTCTCTAATAGAAAAGTTATAAAGTGTTTTGTCTTTGCTAATAAAGTTTTCAATTTTTATGAATTATGACAATTTGACATGTGTCTCAAACATGAATTATTTGATTATGACTATACCTGAATTTGTCTTTTTTAAAAATAACTTTATTCTCTTTTTCCAAACCATAACATGGGAATATGTAGCCAGAAAGTTCTTGGTACTGAAGCATGAGAACACAGGCCACAGAGAGGAAATCAGTGTTTTCAAGTATTTGCTTCTCCTTCTGCTGTTGTCTCCCAAAGCTCCCCGAGAAGCCACAACATTCTTGCTGACTGTTGAAATAGGAGCGGTGGCAGGGCTGCGTCCCCGGCACCCGGCCGCCCTCATGGCTAGCTTATGCCCAGAAATAATTACACGGAAACTGTATTCTTTCAAACACTGCCTGGCCCGGATAGTTCCAGTTCCTTATGGCTAGCTCTTACATATTGTTCTAACCCATTTCTAATATTCTGTGTAGCCCACGAGCTGGCTTACCAGGGAGGATCTTAACCTGCGTCTGTCTGGA